ATCTGATGTCGGCTGGCAGTAGCATCTAAGCCTAAATGAATCCCTGGATGCTAGAAAAAACAGCTCCAAAGTGGAGTTTGGGCCAATAAACCTTGGACCTCAACCTAAATAGTCCAAAGCTTGACTGGACTTTATTTTACTCTCAACAGTCTCTGAAGGACATAGGGTCTTCAGCTCTCACAGATGAGTCCTGAAGTTGCATTACCCCCTGGGTCACCATTTCCAAAAATGTCTCAAACTTGTGTGTGTGTAGTGTGTTTCATGGGGTATCTGTACCCCTGCACATCAGGCTTCTGAGCATCCCACTTTTTCCTCGTTCACAAGGACAGTAGGCTTCACCCACTTGTAATGAGTCCTGGAGCCAAGCAGGGCTTCCTGCATCTCAGACAACATCTTCCATGCAGTGTGAAGGGGGCTATTGGATGTCTCTACCAGGGGTAGAGATAGGAACAGAGAGACAAATCTCTTGGTATCCTGAGTGCCAGCGGAGCCCTGCCTCCATCCCCAAACCCAGGAGCGGCTGGCATCTCCCTGCAGCAACATCCCTGTCCTTCCCACGCGGTCACAGACACAAGGCCTCTGAAAGGAGGGAGACTCGCCCTGGACTCTGTCTATTGACAGAAGCAGCAGTGGGGAAGGAAAAAACAGGAGCTGAGAAAGATGCATTTAGGGTCTAATCTTGGGCTCCGACAATGCTGGTCTATTACTGTTCCCGTGCATCCCTAGTGCTGACATTTTATAGACAATTTCCAAAACAGGGCCCTGCCATTTCTGGATTATATTTCAGCTGTAACTTTTAAGTCTAATTATTTGCGCTGACAACCCCCTATAATGGGGCGGCGCGGCGCCCGGAGGCATCAGCATTCAGCGGAGTGACAGCCTAATCGCAGGGGGAGGCAGCCCCGCAATCGGCATTCACTCGCGGAAATTTCTCTGATGAAAATAACACAACATTAAGGAGGGGAGAAGGGGCAGGATCCACTGTATCAAGATAAAATAACTCTTTAATAAATAACCTTGTGGCTGCCGCAGAACGGTAATTAAATGCTGGCGCACCCGGCACACAGTTTTAAGTAAAGCTGGAAAAATGTAAGATGTAATTATCAGCGCCAAACGAATTACCAGCCCGCCAAATCCCCCCAGAATATTTAGAAACTCATTTCTGCCTTCCCGTTAAATATTTGTGTACAAGCTTGTTTTGGGTGGGACCACAAGGGAGGAGGAGAAGGGACCAGGGACTGAGAGGGTGGGGGAGGTGGCTGCAGACTGGGTTCAGTGTCTGCTGATGGCTGTTTTCTGAGTGCCCAGCAGATCCGCCCTGTCAGCGAAATGGTGAAACTGAAATGCCCCAGCACTCCTGAGTGCATATGGAAAGATGCTCAGGGCTGTTATCTGAGCCGTGGCCGCAGCCCTCCTCCAACTGGCTCCACTCCCTCGTGGAAGAAACTCAAGTCAGTGAGGATGATGCACAGGGGACCCAACGGCTCAGGCCTGCTCCCTGGGGCTCAGCCTCCTGCTCAGGTAAGCGACCTCAGATCACACAGCCCATATGACACAAGAACACTGCCAGACCCTATTGATGGACACAGCACTCAGGGTCGGGGCTGGAGTTGCTGAGAATTGAGGCCACCAGGGAAGACTCTGCAGTGGCCTTGAGATCAGAGCCTTTCTCATCCTGGGGTCCTTCCCAGCCCCTACAGCCTCTGTGTTTCTTCCTTACAGCACAGGTCCACTAAGCTATGGGTGAACATCTGCCGCCCAAAGGGTAATAAGCTCTTCGGGTTGGAAGGCTTAACAAGAACAGAGATGGCTGGTTGGACAAATAAATATCATCGTTAGTTAGGAAAAATGACAGATAGGTTTGCGGAGAGATGCTTCTAGGGTAGGTGAAGACACTTAGTCTCAATCTATATGGAGAGGAAAAAGTTGGAACTGCAGGCATCTTCCTCAATGAGCCAAACCTGGAACACAAATACCAAGCTGCCCCATCTGGTCTTGCTGGGGATCCTTGGACCTCAAGGACTGGTGGACACTACAGTACTTTTGTCCAAGAGGCATGAGTTACACTTCCTCTTCCCAGTGGTTTTAGGTAAGGTTGGGGCAGTTGTGGATTTGAGGTGAGGGGGCAGGGGCAGGGCTCACAGGTACATATATGCACTATTTATCTCTCACTCATATCCTTCTCTGATTACAACTACTCTTGAGCGCCATCTGCAACAGCCAGCCAGCCTGGCCTGGGCACACAGGTAGGGTGCCGTGTCATGCCATGCACCACACCTACCTGCCCCAGCAAGGGAACCCCTAGAGGAACATGCAGCAGACATGGGGTGGTGCATCAGGACCCAAGCAGCAGAAACATGCAAGGTGAACGCCTGCCCATCCACCCCTGGTCCTGCCTGCCTGCTGGCCCTGCCAGTGACAGCAGAGCCTGGCTGGTGGGCAGGCATGGCTGGAGCAAGCCTGAGGGAGCTGCCTGCACCCGCTGGTCCCTGCTGACGGGAGCATCCCTTCGACGGGCGGACTGTAGATGGGTAAGAAGTGAAAAAGACCAACCTTCTCGCTGATCTGAGAGATGAGAGTTTGGGTTGATGGCAGAGTGCGATGAGGATGAGGAGGGAATAAAAAAAAGACAAGGAGAAACACAGAGAGAGTAAAAACAGGCCAACCTTCATCTGCCCACAAAGCACGGAAATAAGACAAGACTCCTGTGCCCCCACGCACACACACGTGTGCACACAGGTGCGCACGGACCACACTGCTCACGAAAAGACTCAGGACTCATGAAGGACATGGTGGACGGGTGGGTACTGGCAGGTGCCAGGAACGCCAAGGGTAGGACATGGAGAGGTGGAAGTGGGGCAAGGCAGCCCCCATACCTCACACGCACTCCACAGCTTGGAGAAGCCCAGTGAACTTGGGCTCTGGGGTCAGGGCCCACCCAGCCCACAAACCCACCAAGGCACATGAGCTACTAGAACCCCACCACCTTGAGGATGCCCCATGCTGCACAGCACCACAGTGTGAGGTTACTTCTGAAACCTGTAGGGAACACAAAGGCTGGGGAGACATCACTCCCAATTTTAGAGACCGCTGTGGCCCAGTACCCAAGTCCCTGCAGAGAAGACGGAAGGCTGGTAGCCCTGGGGTAGGTAGCCCGGGGTCTGTGGAGGATCCCTGGCAGCTGCGGATCCTGAGAGCTAGGGGGAAGAGACGCTGTGAATGGAAGGAGAGAATGAGTCACTCAGGGAGGGAGTCAGATGGTGACGGAGCAAGAGGCTGGTCCACCCAGCATGTCTGGGCCTGCTAGACTGTGGGTGGTGCTGTGGGCAACAGTGAGCAAAGTTAGAAGTAACCGGATGATCCATCTCTCTGGATAACAATATCCCTAGCAGCAGTGGCTACTGACTGCCATGTGCAACCCATGTGCCTGGGGGCTGGGTCATTATACTCTGTTCTGTGAAATTCAGTCACCAAAGAGCCTCAGAAGCCCTGAGAGTTTTGGGGACAGAGGAAGCCACACAATAGGAAGAGACAGGCCTCAGGGCCAACGGTCACAGAAGGAGGAAAGTCAGAGACGAAGACCAACACAGTGGGAGGCTAGCTACCTATAGCTAAATCACTAGGGTGATTTTCCCTCGGGTGACATGCTCCTCGGGAGTAAAGATCTGGGACTTTTTTGTTTGTTTTCCTGATTGAAAGTGATACTAGCAATTAGGTTACAGATGCTCCTACTCAATAACTCAAAATGCAGAGGACATCCTCCTCTCACAACAGACTTATCTAACCCAAACTGTCCTAGTGTTGAGAGGCTGGGAAGCCCTGGACTAGACTATCCCAGTCTGGATGGTGAATCCCAAGTCTTGATAGAACTGGAGCCCAGCACTTTCTGCTATGTGGAGTCCAGAGTTGGAGGGTGGTGGGAACGTGGTGAAAGCAAGTCTTGCTGTTGCTGCGAGGCCTACAGTCAGGTGTGGCACCTGGGATTGCCTCCGTCCTTGAGTTCTCTTGTCCACAGCAGGTGAACTGGTAGCCAGCAAGGCAGATGGTGCTCCAGAGGAGCAAGTGAAGGTCTGGTCAGAACTCGACTCATGGGTCCTCAGTCTGAAGGTAGGGACTTTACCAGGGCTGAGAGGAAAGTGGGGTCACCTGAGGCAAGGGTTTCAGGCAGCACGGCTTGTCAAATGTCTAGAAGTTCTGTCAGAGGGCCTATTTTAGGGACACAGGGCAGGCTGTTCTTAGTAAATGAGGGCAGGTGTAGGCTTAAGGAGGGGCTTGGATATGAGACAGGTCCTGGAGACAGAGGTCTGGGACTAGTCTGTATACATCAGAGTCCATAGGGGTGTCTGTGTGTATTCCTATGAGTCCATGTGTATCAACCAACAGAGGTCAGGCTGGGACAGCCCGTTTTGAAATCCTTGGTAAGAATGGGGTGGCAAGAACCCGTGAAAAGGATTATGGGAATGGAGCTGTCAAGGCAGTTTAGGAAAACCTGGCAGAACAGGGCTGTCATGCCAGAAGCCGGTCAAATCTTGCCTGAGCACGCCTATGAATAGACAACAGGAGCCCATCAGCAGTGCTGCTTCTAAGGGTTGTAGATAGGCTCACCATGGTCAGCGGTAGCTGGGGAATGCATTTCCAGAGTCTCACTGTCTCACTTACTCCTTCGCTAAGGCCAGTGTGACAGCAACTTCTAAGAAGATTGCCCAGTCAAAATGACAACACAGGAATCCAGACACCTTGGATTAGGGTAGACTCTGTCCGGAGTATTACCTCCTGCAGCTTTTCCCTAGAAAATATGTCCACGCGACAACTATGCCTGTGTAACTGGCCCCGTGTTTCCACTGGCTATGCTGAGCCTCTTCTCTCCCCAGGGCAGCCACCAGGAGCAAAGGGCTCCAGGATTCCAGCCTCTTGGAAGGAGCCCTTGGCTGAAAGAACACAGCATTCTGAGCAGTCTGGGTGGGAGCAGGAAGGCTTGTATGAAACAGAAAGGTCACTTTAACTGCTCCTCTCTCAGAGGGGCACACCAGCCCCCAGTGTCCCCATCAGAAGTCTGTCCAGAGCAGCGCGGCAGTGAAGACACACTGTGGATGATACCACTTAGCTTGGCCATTTGGGTGGCTCTTAAGCTCCTGTCTGCTCTGCTCCACTGCTATTCCTCAAGACAGGTCCTGAGCAAGCTCAGATAAGCCCCAGTGAGCAGGGGATCAGCGACAGAGGTGATAGAGACAGCTCATCCATTCCTCCAACTCCAGTGAAGCATTGCCCACGGTCTCTGAAGAACGTTTGTTCATCATCAACAGCCTGCCACAGCTCAACTAGTCGCCAAACGGGCTGGAAGACTCTTGAGGCCTCTCTGCAACCTCTCTGTGCACCTGACATATAATAACCAGCAATAAGTTCACGGTGACTGGTTGCCTGATTCTCTCTGCCTTGACTGACTAGGCATGTCTAATCAAACAGCTCTGAAATGTGGGATTGCTCCCTCCCCGCCCCATGCACTCAGCCCTGGGCAGACAAGCAGACGATGCCCCTCTCGAAGGCTGCTCTAAGCACTTAGTGTGATGAAATCATTGCTACAAGGAAGCCACATCCACTTTCTATCCATCCCCTGAGTGCAGACGGTTTAACTTTTAATGACACCATCTGTGCAGGAGGGCCAGGTCAGGGGGAGGAGGGCAGGGGTCTGAGCCCTCCGCATCTCCCAGGGCATCACATACACCAGAGCCAACGTGCTCTCGAGACAAGGCAGAGTTGCTTGAGGCTATAAGTATGGCACAGACTGGCCTTCTCAAAACAGTCCCCAGGGGCCCTCTGCTGGGTACCTGAACATGTAAAAAGAGCTCATTTCACTTAGTCTCACAGACTCCCTAAGTCCCCTTACTTTAGGGTAACAGCACAAGTGGAACCTCCAGGAAGGCCCGGTCTGAGAGGAAGTTCATCTGGTCAGGTCCATTCTTGAGGACTCACGCCTCAAAGACCAGACTAACAGCAGTCCTGGGAAGCTATTGTCCTGGGAAAGGCAGGACAGAGTGGAGGAGGGCTAGGCTCAGAGTGCACATTTACACAGAAGCATGCATGCCTGTGTGCGTGCGTGTACACACCCATCCACCCACACACACACGTGATCTCTGCTCAGAAGGCTTCAGGCTCTCGTGGGCCTCTGAGCTAACATGGCAGGACATACAAGAGGTGAAAATGCTCCCAGGAGCAGGCACTTCCCACGAGGCCTGCAAGGAAGGAAAGTAAAGTAGTGGTGACGCTCGGAGCCTGTCCAATGGGAGCTGTTACTGGTTCTACTGCTGCTGCAGAGAGAAGCTGGCGGGGGGAGAAGAAAGACCAGACCCACCACGGTGGCCCGTCACAAATCCACACCAAGGGCTCCAGGCAGCATGCCCAGCAGGTGAAGCTGAGTTCCTTGATGACAGAGGCTAGGTACTGCTTGGGTCCTTACCTCGCACATACAGGTTCGCGGGAGCTGAGTAGCGTGTGCCTGCAGAATTGGTTGCCACACACTCGTACTTGCCTTGGTCCGATTCCTCGCTGCTCTCAATCTGCAAGGCACCTGTGGGGACACAGAGGCAGAGGTCAAGGCATGGCTTATGTTTGGTGCAAGCCTGGGACACGGGGAGGGGGGGATCTTGGCAGCATTTGTGGCTTCTGTTGACCAGATGTCACAGCATAAACTGGCCACACCTTGGCTCCAGTGTTGCTTCTGGGAAGTTCTTGATAAGCCCAGTGCACTGGCTGGAAATGAACGCTGAACTCTGGAGTCCAATGCTCCTGTCCCTCAGTCTTGCTGGGCATGCCTTTGCTCTGCAGGGGCTGTACACCACCCCTACCCCACCACACTCCAGGCAGCACTGGAACATGTTTGCCAACGAACATCCCCCCATTAATGTTCTATGCGAACAGCCAGGCACCACAGAGCCAGGCGTGGGAGCGGCTTGGAGATCTGTTGGCCTGGGGTTCACAAGCATGCAATGCTCTCTCATCAGGCAAGAGCTTGAGAATCTGCCGCCCACCCAAATTCCACAAGAAGGAAGGGGCTTGTCCTGAGCCCAGTGTCTTCTGCTCACAGCACCCATCATCCCTGATCCCCCACCCCCACCCCAGACTGCTCGCCCCACCCATTCCAGCTCCTCTCCTCCTCCGCCTTGCCCTGCTAAAGTGCTTCGACCCACCACGGCTCCTGCATAATTCAAGAGGCTAATGGGGCTGGAGCTCCCACTCGTGCCAGTGCCCAGGGGGGCTGCACTGGCCGCAGACGGACAGAGAGGAGCCAGGACTCGGGTGGGGAGGCAGCTGAAAAGGACCCTTACAAAGAGGAGAAATAACTTGGCTGTTCCTCACTCCCCAGCAAAAACACTTGAATAAACTGCTCACAAGAACACATCGGGCAAAGCTGTCTGTGACAGCAACATCCCCAGGCACAAGTGATGCTCCCATCCCTGGAACAACCAGACAGACAATTACACCCACACAGGACAGTCCAAATGACGGTTAATAACCCTCACAGGACACAGTCTGACAGAAAACCGCCTCCTGTGCCGAACAGTCTGAGTGACCGTAGCAGCACCCAACCCACCCGCCTAGGACACAGGCTGACTGACGTCACATCCACATAGGACACAGACAGAACCTGTTGGACCCCAGGGAACTGCAGAGGAGTCACAGAAACTGTTCCAAGCCAAGCTCATACAGCCCACACCCAGAGGAGGCCCCCTAGGGGTCTGTGCTGTAGCCTCTGCACCAATTGACACCATCCAGTTCCAGGGCAGCAGGAAGGGCCATGAACACCCAGGGCCCCAGAAGTGAGGAAAGCTATGAACATCCAAGCCTGGGTCCCAATGCAGAGGACAAGAGGCTGGCCACCTCTGTGGGCCCGGGACTGCCACAGGCACATGACCTTGGGCCACTCCCTGAGGGTGCCCAGAGACCTAGGTCTGGGCCCCAGAGGCCACTGTACATGCCAAACACCCACCTCTTGGTGGACACCCAACAGGCCATGTTTATGGGATGGATGGACATTATTACAGAAGATGCTCACTCAGATGGGGAGGGCTCAGGCCCGTGACTAGGGAAGGCAGCACTAAGGCCAGCACAGCTAAGGGGTGAGGGGACATCTAATAGCTTGTGCCACAGGCTGGGTAGTAGTGTCTGGTTGACAGCCTGCCTGTGCAAAGATGTTCCTGATGCTGAAAGCCTAGGACTGGCTGGGAGATTCTCAACACAGACTCTATGCCCATTTGTACAAAGAAAGAAACTAAATAGTGTGGAACCCAAATCAAAAACTAGCATTAGGAGCAGCAGTGTCAGAGTTGGTGGAAAGGAGAAGGCAAAGCTATCCTCAAGGGGTAAAGGGCAAGATGTCATTCAAGGAGGCATGTGGAGCACACACCCCATTTCTGCCTTGCTCTGAGCCTGACTTCTGAGACTCACAGAAAGGTGAGAGAAATGATGTGAATAAATACCAAACATTGTACAATGTGTCTGTTCTGAACCAGGTATTAGGCAAATTTTCAATTTCTCTTTTAATTCTCCCACCTCAGCCTCAATTTTAAGAGGAGGAAACATTTCTTTCTTTTTTTTTATTATTTTGTGTGAGTGTACTGTCAAACAGGAGGAAACATTTCTAAGACTTTTTTTTAAAAAAAGTAATGGCATTTAGCGATACTTGAATCTAAATCCTTGTGAGTCCAGAGTGATTTTCCAACCTCCAGGCTTACTGATCCGGTTATTCGTGGCCATGCTTCTATCCTATTGTCACCCCAGAATCTACAAGGTGAAGACCCCTTTATACCCTGATGGGCTTCAGGCACCTGATTCTACCATATTGATAGCAGCCTTTGAATTAGCCCCCAAACTCATGGTAACTCCATGAGTCTGGACTGATGTGATTCACAGCACTTTGATTTCTGGTCCATCTTAACCTGGAAATGCTCATGAAAACTGGCCCATATTAGAGCAACACTACTCGAACTACCAATGAACGGTGGTGGGGGCTGCCCTGAAGATGCACTGGCCAGGAACAGAATCCAAGTCTCCTTTGTATGGTAGAGAATTCTATCACCGAGCCACCAAAGTTGTCTATCTATCACATCGTTCTGTTGTTATGAGATGGCTATGAACCAATTCATGGCTGACTTACCGGGGGGTTTCAGAGGCTGTAATATGCATGGGAGAAGATGGCCCTTCTTTCCCCCCACATAGCAACTGATGGATTTGAACTGCTTGCGTTTGGACGCAACTGTTGCATCCAAAAATTGGCAGTGCAACTCTTTACCCACCAGAGCTCCCTGAGTCTACTCTAAGACCAGGATATTAAAAGGGAAGTCAATAATTGAAACTCTCAAGAAACTAGAGGCCCTCCAGAGAAAAGGCAAGGCTTGTTCATGATTATCTACCTCAGACGCTCCTCCCACAGGAACCCTAGGGGACCCAGGTTTAGTTTCACTATGGGAGCCATTAAATTTTCCCCTGTGGGGTTGGCCTAGGCCTGGGCAGTAGTAGGACCTGCCACCCCCAAAGCTGGGCTTAGCTGAGTATTTCCACAAGTCAGACTTGCAATGGATGAGTCCACAGGAGGGAATGACTGAGTGGAGTTGTGTGGTGGCTGGTGGTGTTGGGTGGGGCCGGGGCTGGAGATGAAGAGGCTGGAGCGGTCAGGATGGGGATGGGGAGGTGACGGACTGGACGGGATGGAGTGGTGGTGACGGCAGTGGTGTGGCGTGGCGAGATGCACGGACAGCATTCTTACCTCTGATTGGTGAACCACCTGGCGAGGTAATTTGAATGCAAATAAGATCAGAGAAAAGCATTAGTACAAAAGGAAGGAAAGCCTCACAAAGCCAAATCAGATAAAACAAAACACGAAAAAAGGGCCTCAAATACACTGAGAAACTGAGGCCCGAGTTAGGTCAACGCAAGTGATGTGTGAGCAAGCGCCAGGCTGGGTGTGGGTGAGGCTGTGTCCCCAGGTCAGTGGCACTGCTTTGAGGGAGGAGAGAGTGAAGGGAGTTCAGCAGGGCTGGGGAGTTGAGAATCAGGAAGGTGAGTAAGAGCTCCTGTGGACGCCACTGGCTGAGGCCAACGGAAGGGGAAGAAGAGAGACAGCAATGCCACCCTGAAGGGCTGCCAAATTCCCATGTGGGTAGAGTGTTCAAAACAACGCACTTACCAAATAGACCAGGTGTTTAAGCAGACAGAAAAAGGGTAAGGGGGAAGCCTTGCCAATGGCTCCCACCAGACCAGGTCTCCCAAACAGACTCAGGGTTAATTTGCAACCCAGAGGCAGCTCACCAAACGGCTAAAAAAATGTCAGCCTGGACGACTGAGCTCTCCTGTAACCTGAGTGGTGAGAACCAGAGGCTGGAGTGCACACCTTGCTGATTCAGAACTTGTTATCCTGGGAATTAGCAGCCAAGGGTGTCGGAGTCCTCGCCCTCCAAATCGTTGGCCCGGAGCTACAAGTGCCCACAGGCTCCCTTCCCAAGACTGTGCTCAGGGTCCCTATTCAGCATTGCCTCATCCAGAGCAGGGAGGAGCCCGAGGGTGGGTGCAGGTCCAGCTGTATCTTTCAGTTCCTTTCTGGGCTCATTTGGGGTTTAAGGGAGAGGAGCTAGAATTCTATGGAGATATAAATACTGATGAAGGACCCAAAGGATAACACTTGCCTGAGGGGAAACAAGGAACCAGAGGCTGAGAAACATTAAGTGACTTGCCCAAAACCCAAGGTCACAAGCTTGTTTGTGACAAGGCAGTATGTGACTAGTCTGTCTGGCTCTAAGACTCACAGTCTTCAGACTGAACAGAGCTGCCTCCCAAAGGTAGAGGCTAGAGAGGAGGCAAGAACCAGGCACTGAGATCCAAGGTGTGTGTATAAGGAGAATGTGCAAAGATTTACCTGAGGGGGAAAAATCATCACAATGATTCTCAAAGTGTGGTCCAAGGGCTCTTGGGAATCATTGAGACATTTTCAGGAGGTCCATAAGATCAAAATTATCTTTCTTATACATTAAAACCCTATTTGTCTCTTTGGGTCTCATTAGAAGAGTTTACAGTGGAGTCTTCCAGAGGCTACATGAGATATTCCAACAAAATGAACGCATAAGCAGAATGGGAATCCAGCTGTCTTCCATTAAGCCCAAAATGAAGAGGTTTGTCAAAGTGTAAAAGAACGCTTCTCTACTGTTACATTTCAGAAAACATAATTATTTTTCAGTGAAAAAATGTTATTCAATGGATTTTAAAGTTATTTTTAAAATCAATTAATAAGTATTTAAAAGTCTCCGTCTTGGTATCTAAAAAGATAAATACAGGTAAATATATAACCTCCACACAGAAACAAAGGCCTCTAATTTTTACAATTTGAGGTCCCAAGAAGCCTGGGGTCCAGGCCAGAGCCTGTGGTGGAGTAGTACCTGGCTTCTGGCCTCAGCTCTTCCAAGACTTAATCTGCTACGCTACATGACAAGTCTCTAGATCTCTACGAACAGTCATTTCTGTACCAAATGGAGACTAATTAGTCTTTCCTATGTTACAGAATGTGAGAGCTAGGCACTGAAAGGGCCTGGGGGTGGTACTCGTGCTCAAGACTAAAGGGGTAGCATATCCAAGCACTGATAGTAGCAGGGCCCACTGTTGGTACGCATAGCCTACCTTCTGATCCATCTTTGGCTCTCTATTTATTCTCTTTGGGTCCTAGCTTCTGGGACCAGTGGTCTCCTGATGCACAAAGACAGGGATCACTCTTCTTCTTCTTCTTTTTTTTTATTTTAATGAAAGTTTACAGAGACTTTGAATTTCCATTCATTCATTGTTGCAAGGGATTTCTCCTCTGAAAGCCCTTTTGTCTTGGCTCCATGTCTTGGGGGATGTGGAAGGAAACTGCTCTTCTGGGTGAACCCATGCAGTCACATATATAGCTGTCCTATATGGTGATGAGGATATGGCTTCCTCACACAGGGGCTAGAAGTCCAGCCATCAGGATAAGGGATCTGTGAGAACTGGTTAGTCCCCTGAGGATCCAGCAGGAGCTCTGAGCCCTTCTAGGAGGTTAGTCTTTGCTGGCTGTTTCCCATTTCCGTTATCTTGGTGCCTGTCCCCATTTCTGTTGAGTCCACCTAAGGTCAAATCTTCCTAGAGGTACCTATGATGATGATGGCAGCATGTTGCTTTCAGTGAGAAAAATGTCTGCTAAAGACACCCTATATCTGGATTGTACATATCACCTGCTGGCCTTCTGCCTGGCTTCTGCTCTGAGGACCAGGGGTAGGTTAGATATGCTGGTCAACAAATGCTGGAGGATTTCTGGGTACTAGGCTGGCAAGGGCTTGAGGTGTGGACAGGATGAGATTGTGGAGCTTTGGGCCCTTAGGCTACTTCTCAGAATCTAAGTACGTGATACTAGAAGTCTGTGGGTCATCTCACGGGAGTGTTCTCAGGCCCTAGATCTCCACATGTAATCCCAAGTGACTCCCTTAACTCTACTGTCAAGTGGGCAAGATAACCACAGCCTGTCCTAATTCACAGGGTTTCAGGAGAAGCAACCGCAGCAAAAGGCGAGAAAGGACTTTGTAAACTGTCAGTGATGTGTAAATGGTGAAGGTCCCTGTACACAGCCAAGTGCCTGGGGACAGATTCCACTCCATGAAGGGATGTCCCTGCAAAATGTGTATGAACAGCCCTTTTAATTAGTCACAGGATGGGAACAAGGTCAGGGGCCAGGGTCAGGCAGTAATGGGACAGAGTTCTGTCTGTTACTACAGAAGTAGGAGAACTAAGGCCTCTTAGGTGTTATCAGGCTCTACCGCAGGAGCTGGACTCTGGGTTAAGGACCCTCAGGTCATAGCTTTCAACATGGGAAAGGCTGAACCAGAAGACAGGTTCTCCTTAGACTTAAAAGCAGAGGAAGAATTGGACATGCATCTGCAGGGACAAGGTCCAAAGCTGGTGGTACAGTCAGTCATGTTCATGGAATCACTCATTTAGCAAGGGTTCAGAGATGTGTCCTGTGGCTGGGCTTGTCTTGGGCCTTGCCAGTGGATTCGGCAGAGGTGAGTTAGACTTGGTGGAATGCGAGTGGAGGGCTAGGAGGTGGTGAGGCTAGGGTCAATGCTGCCAGTCTGGAGGTGGAGAAGGAGAGGCAGGAGAGAAGAGCAGTACGAGCTGCTAGAGGCTGGGCATTAAAGCGAAAGCTTTTACTGCCACTGTCTTAACTTAATCCTTACTATTAACTCTTTTTTCTGGATAAAAAAATGGAAGCTCAGATAACTTAAACAACTTAGCCAAGACAGTATAAATACTACATGGTGCAGCCTGGACCCAAGGCATAAAGTGGAAGATGTGAGAAGGGGAAGAGCAAGAAAGGCTCAGTGTGCCTTGCTCAGGAGGTGTGGCTGGCTATGTTGGCAACGAGGCAACGCAGAGGCTGCCAGAGCAAGGGCAAGATGCAATAGGTAACAGCTGTTGACAATGGACTCAGGAAACACTGCAGGTGGGGTCTGGGGGACCTAGGATACAGCAAGAGACTTGGCTGGAGAGGGTCAGGGTGTCAGTTTCAGGCGAAACTGAGAGATAGTGTTGTCACTCAGTAAGGAATGACCAGCAAGAGAAGGGAACCGCTGTTTGGGAATAATATTACACCTCAGTCATGGTTAAGGTGACATTCAGAGGCAGATTTCTGGGTCTTGAACTCAAGCAAGGCTTTTGGGCCAGACAGATAGAACTGGGAGTTGTTGGTGTTGAGATAAATCAAGCTACTAGAGTCCAAGAAAGGCTTTGGAGTAGATAGTGCCAATGAAGCCAAGGTAGGGCTCAATGGCTGAAGGCAGGGTCCGTGGAAGACAAAGAGGCAATCAGAGAAGCAGGAGGGAAGTCAGGAGAGGGCAGAGTCCTGAAAACCCAGGAAAAGCAGGAGGGAGTGGCTGTGGAGGAAGGAGGAATGCCCAATGCTGCCGAGCTGTCAAGGAGAATAAGGACTGAGTAATATTAGGAGAGCCACGGGCGGGAAGTGGCTACGGGGCAGTGAATGGGTGGCACCGGGCCTGGCTCAGAGCAAGCACTACATAAATACTTGATGAACAAATGCACACAATGGCGTGCCTTCCCAGAACTGCTGCCACTTATGGTCAATGGTGTTCCGGGGAGGAGCTCAGGCCTACAGGGAGGACTGTCTGCCTACTTGAGGAGCTGCCTGAGGGACCAGTGAGGAGATGCAGAGGAGCTGAACCATACTGGCTGCTGTGTGGGGCCGGGCAGCAGCCGCAAACGCTGCCTGCCGGACAGTTTCCTGCCTTGATTATGGCTGTTTTAATTAACTGTGCTATAGCTGCCTCCATCTTGTTGAGTTTTAATTAAATTAAATGAGCTAACACTTCATGGGCTGTCTCAGGCGACTGTGGCTGGGGCCAGAATCCTGCCCCTGCTGAGTGGCTCATCACTTCCTTCTCTCCTGGGCACTGGGAGAGCCTGCCTGGCAGGAGATGGGAGGATGGGCTGGCACCTAAGGAGTGGCAGGGGTGTCTCTGGAGCCTGCAGCGGCCAAGTCATCTGCTCCCTTGTGATGCTGACATCTGACAGGTAGTAGGGGCTCCGGCCAGTGGTGGCCATCCTGCCGGAGGCCCATCATCGTATAGCTGGCAGAAGGCTTCTGGAACAATGTTTGCTGGTCTAGCCCAAGTGGGTGGCAGTTGCAGAGTGCAGCCTAGCTGATTCTGAACCTTCTCTCCTGCTCTGTTCCCACAAAAAAATGGAATCAATTATCCTAGCGGGAGTCTCACAGGCAGATCGATCAACATGGCGACACCTCCTGCCTGGTCCCTACAGCAGCCTTGCTCCCAGGACTCCGAGCTGGCTCGACTGAGATATTGAGAGGAGACAGGTGGCTCTGGTAGCCAAGGGACAGGACCACAGTCACCCAGCTTGGCAGTGAGGACTTTGGCTCTAGGTTTCCTAGGTCCAGCCTTTTGAAAGCTGATAAATCAGGTATATTTGGCCTCTTTTCCCGGGATAAGCCCTGCTATATGGAGAAGCAAAGACAAGCACCATTCAAGCCCCTTTCTAAGGGCATAGTGGAGGACAAACATGCACAGCACCCTTTTGCGGGGTCCAAGTCCAGGCTCGACATGGCACGGGTGCTGCCGGGAGCAGGACTGGTCCAAAGGCTGGAGCCTGACAATTCCAAAAGGTTAGGGCACCAGGTGGGTCAAATGCAAGGTCCAGCCCTCCCCGCTGGCTTCCCTCAGCCCTGAAGGCTCAGCCCAGGCCAGGGCAATCCTGTGGCTCCCAGGCACGCAGCCAAGAAGGAAGGCTGGTGAGTTCTGCCCAACTTTCCTGACATCTCTGAGGGCCCCACACTCCTGCCTTCTCCTCACCTGAACGCAGTTGTTTGATGCGCCCGTTGCTGGTGGTGGGGTCCACCGGGAGGAAGTCCTTGAACCAAGAGATCTCCGGGTCTGGGTTTCCGCCTGCCGCACACAGCATGGTGGCCGTGCGCGCCTTCTCTACCACCTTCAACTGAGGCCCCATGTCGATGGAGGGGAAACCAGGGGGCAGCTGCTCCTCTGCAGAAAATGAACAGATGTACATGTTAGGGTTGACTTGGCCTGTCTCGTAGGGTCCTGCTGGGGGCAGTTTCCCCCAATTCCTAGGCTGTCGGGACCTCACAAATCTCCCCTCTCCAATCTTGAGTTTTAGGAATAAAGTTTGTACAGATGTGAGGACCCATAACCCTGAGTCCCTCTGTTCAGGCCTGTCCTTGTGCAGGACCTAGGGGGGGCTTCAGAAGGCCCAGGGAATTTCTAGGTCTTGGAAGTATATATGTCTCAGACTGAAGACAGCAGCATCTATTTCTGGGCCTTGAAGAGGAGGAAGACTGATGCTCTCTCTGCTGGCCGCACCAGAAAGTGCTGCAATGGTGCCAAGGTGTGGGGAGCCCACTTGCTCATGTGGCAATGACAGCCACAACTTAGCCCAAAGGCCTCATGTTGTCCAAACCTGACTTTCATTTGTACACAGTGTTCCCTCCACTTCTGCATCCAGCCTTTAGCATCACCCACAGCAAAACCTCAGGTCACAGTCCAAGGTCTGGTCCTAACCCTGACTTACACTATACTGAACACCTGGACCCTGACCTGTACTCACTCGTCCAGTCTTGACTGGTGCCACAGTCAGATGTTGGGGCCATGTGGCACTACTAGATAAAGGAGTTCACAGGAGATAATAGATGATGCAGGGAGGTAAAACTCCACTGTGGCTCTGGCCTCACTTCCCTGTGTGCAATAGCCGCTCCCCAATGCCAACAGATTCCACACCAGCCTATGGAGGTGTCCACTCCCCAGTGCAGACTAAAATGGGACTCCCAGCTGCACCACTAACAGCTCTACAGCCTGAAAGAGCAGCATATCCTCTCTGTCTCTTTTCATCCGTACAACAGGGTTGGAGTACCTACCATGTAAGGCCAGCTGCTGAGTTACTTTATCTGATAAATCATTCGAGAGTGTCTAACACAGAATCTCCCGTCAATAAATACTAGCTGGTGGTAGTATTATTATTATTATTATTATTATTATTACTATTGCCAGTAAGGGATGAACCACTGAAGCAGACAGGTTCAGGATGACCCTTTTCCATCCTGGCCTGGTTCAAGGCCTCTTCTATACCCTACTCCCCTACCAAGACCAAAGCACAGGTGAATGTGAGGCAACACCCAGTGAGGGAAAGGGGAACATTTTGTCTTTTGTCATTCTCCTAGAGAAAAAGCTGGTCTTCATTGTAGGAATACTAGGATGCTAGCACCCCTCCAACTTTTCTCCCACACGCCCAATGCAATATGGGTGCGTGAGAACATTTACTCGGGTCAGGTTCCAATGCCAAGAAAAAGGCACAAGGCATGCTAAGAAAGGAAAAAAAAATATAAAGACTTGCTGGGAGACAGCCTCTCTTGAGACTTTCAGAGACCCAGGGACTGGCTAGGAGGAGGTAAATGTGGAAGCTAGAGGAGCCTCAACAGGCAAGGGCAAGATGTCCCTGTCTGCTGCCAGCCCTCAGGGGGAGGTCAGCCAAGGTTTCAGCTGCCAGGGACATGCTATGGGGACTGTAGCTCCATTGGGGGTGGGTGTCTCAGGGTCTGCAAACAGTAGGACTTCCAGCAAGGCCCAGTCGCCCCATCCTTTCCCAGGAGTAGGTGTACATTTCCCCAGCTGCAGCCCTATAAATTCCGGATGTAAACCCTGTGTCTCTTTGACTGTAAATATGATCACGCAGCACTTTGACTTTTAGCTCTGATTTTTAAAAGGAGAATCTTAAACAGTGGCAAGAAAAAGGAGGTTGGAAATGAAACAGGGCTTGAGTATATACCAAGTAGGGGGAAAGACTTTCTTTGTCCCAGCTACTACTAGCTCTCACAGGACGACGGCCCTACCTGGCTCTCCAATAGCTTTGGGATACTAAGGGCTGCTGGAGCTATCAGAGCCTCCTAGGGTACCAGCCTTCTTTTTCGAATCTCAGTCCTATCTCTACTCAGTCCTCCTAAGCAATAATGAGGGGCACCCAAGGCCTGTCCACTGGGGGACTGACTGAAAGGCCCTTTCCACAAACATTCTGATGGGGTCCAGGAGTCACACGGCCTCTGTCCTACTAAGTACTGACAAAGGAGAATGAAAAAGTATAAATGTCTGCAGTCCTGTATCCCAAGAATCTATTCTAAATTCCTGACACGGGGAAGGTCTTTGGGATTTATGCCAAATTAAGGACAATTAATTTTCTTCCCTCAATTATCTCGCCCTCAATGGCTCCGTCCTTGGCTCAAATCATCCCTCAGGCACCATTGCCAGAGCCCAAACAAGCAAGTGTTAAGAGCTGCCCATAAAACAGCGGGACCCAAAAGCAGGACTCCTGTGCCAAACAGGCTTCTAGGCAGAACTCAGAAGGCTGCCGCTATGCCACCTTGGGGAGGCTAAGTGTGGCTCTCAGGAGGACTCCAGCACCTCAGGAACGACTTGGTGTGGTCTATTCCGACATCTCTCAGGGCGGCCTCCAGCACATTCAGTCTCGGCCAAGGACAGCAGCTGTGTACTGATGGCTGCCATGTGTCTGGCCAATCTGAACTTTGGGCACGCTGGTATAAACTGGACCATTCTACCACCCACCAACCTTCCAAATACCCTTGCACCCTGATCTACCTAGGCTATGGGTCGAGGGCAAATTTCCCAAGCTGATGTCATGTGATCATTCCAAACTGGTCACAGTCGGTGAAACAGAGGACCAAATATGAGGAACACTGGATTATATTTACGGAGAATTTACTACGTTAGCATAGTCCCTAGGGAGGCATGCGCTAACCCACCAGCGGCTCTGCGGCAGGGAGGTGGGCAATCTCTTCCTGAGAGTTACAGCCTCCAAAAACCCAATGGAGGGTCAGCTATGAATTGGTTCCAACTCAACAGCAATGAAAGTACTACATAACGCCAAACTCCCAAACTAAACCTACTGATTGTGACAAGTATCGACCCTACCGAGGCAGAGAATTGCCCTCAGGGTTTCCAAAGTTGCTCATCTTGACAGAAGCAGACTTCTTCATCTTTCGTCCACGGAGAGGCCTGTGGTAAATCATGGATCTATTGGCTAGCAGCCCAATGCTTAATCCACTACAATACCAAAGCACTGTGCAAATGGTTAAGCTACCAACTACCAGCCAAAAACTTTGAGTGAAAATCAACCCAGATGTGCCTCACTAGCAAGGCATGGGGATGTGCATATGAAGTTCACAGCCTTAATCAAAACCCTGAGGAGCCATTCTACTCTGCACACTAGGGGTCACCAAGAGTTACACGGACAGCAACTAAGAACAGACACTACATTAAGATGCTTAACAAAATGCTTTCATTCTCACCAAAACTCTGTGGGGTTTAGTCTTAGAGAGATGAAGAAACCAGCCCAAGGTCACAGGGCTAAACCACGGCTAGGGTGGGGATGAAACCAGATGGGAGTCCCCAGACCAGGTTTCTGGACCTGTATGAAACAGTGGTTCTTGGCAGGGCGGGGGTCCTGCGAGCAGTGGGAAGGTAGAGGAGAGTGGCCTAATTTAGGGGTATCCGGAGGGTAGTGAAGTAACCATTCAGGCGTCCTTTCGCTCAACCCCTCCCCCAATACCACGCCCTCAGCTGGCTTCCCGGCTCAGCGGCTCCACCTCTACCGCAGACCCTCTGCACAAGTCGCTGCCTTTTTATTTACTGTAAAACGAACCTACGTGCACCCCACAAGTGGACACTCGTGGACACACACCTACGTTCACCACACCGGAAATAGTGGTCATGCTGAGAACCCTTCTAACAGGTCCTGTGGACAGAGGGCAGCCAGTGCGGGAGGGGAAGAGGGGCTCCTCCCCCTGCAGGCCACCCGGTAACCATGGCAACGGCAGGGAGGCAGGCGCCGCGGCGGAAGGGCTGAGCACACGCTCCAGAGTGAGCGGGCACGCGCACCGGCGTCCGAGCTAGGGCAGCCGCTCCCCACCTCCACCCGAGTGGAGGCCCCAGGTCTTTCCCTGCTCCCAAACTCCGGAGATTTTCTCCTTTAGGCATCTTCCAGCAGCCACGCAGCTGAAAGCCCCTGGGGCGCCCAGCACAGCGCTAAGAGATCTCTAAATATGCCTCTGTAGCCACAGCCAAAAACACCAGTTGTGTCTGTATGGGGCTGGGTCCTGTAACCACTCTTTAGAACAGAGAAACCCATGGGGGAATTGGGAGACTTGAGGGACACCGCTATGTCTGTCTGTGTGTGTACTTGTGAGCACATGCACCTGAGGGTCTACAGACTCACATCTGAGTGTTCCTGTAGTGGGTGTGCACACATGCACGAATGGCTCCCAGGCGGCACTATTCAGGTCTTTAAACACTGCAGCAGTGTCCTCTGAGGTCCTGCTTCCCTTAATGTGCATAAGACCATGGCTGGGGGTATGTGCCAGGGACAAGTGGGAGCCTAAGGTTCAGAGAGGGGCACAGGTGCTTGGCTGGGGTCTCACTGCACCTGTGACACTAGCTCAGTCACCTGCTCTGTTGGCTTCTTGGAGGAGGGTGCTTGAAATGTAGAAAGAATTTGAGCATGGGAGACTGGTGAGTTTTCTAAAGGAAGGGAAGGGATTGTCTGAGGAAATGCAGTGGAGAAGGTGGGGACAGAAAGAAGGCTGGAGTTGGAGCATGCACTGGATCCAGATGGAGACTAGGCCAAGGGTCAAACAGGGGTCGGCTCTGGCCAAGCATGTGTGCAATGATTGGAGGCTGCTGAGGTCCCCCTATGAAGCACATAGGTCCCTTTGTCCAGCTAGCCTGGGATGCCCAGAGGCACTGGGCCTGTGGAAGGGGGCTACATACGGCAGGGAAGCTGACAGATGGAGACGCCTTGCACGGTCTCTGGGCGGACAGAACCGTCTGTCACCACGACCTCCTCACCCATGTTTACTCAGCCTTGTGGCGTCTGTGCACGTGCAGGCACACACCCTCTCCTACACACATACACAGGCTCCCTGGGGTGGCACCATTTGTAAGCCTGGCCCCCTCCTCTCATA